CACCAATATGGAGGTGATGTGTGAGAGGTTTGGAGTGTGGGAGGGGGCTCAGGATTGGGGTGTAGGCTCTGGGGCGGGGCCAGGGATGGGGGGTTCAGTGCTGGGGCAGAGGGTTGGGGTGCAGTCTCTGGGGTGGAGTCGGGGATGAGGGGCTCAGGGTTGGGTGCAGGGGATGAGGGTTCCAGCTGGGGGTGTGGGCTCTGGGATGGGGCCGGGGATGAGGGGTTTGGGGTGCAGGAGGGTGCTGTGGGGCTACAGCAGGGAGAGAGGACTCCCTCCAGCTCTCTCTCCCCACAGCAGCACCTGGGCTGGAGGGGAGAGGCACCTCTCCCTGCCACAGCAACTCCGGGGCTGGGGCCACAGGATAGGAGCCCCTCCTGCAGCAGGTTCAGGCTGGGGGAGGGGCTCCATGACAGGGCCAGGGCTGGGTTTGGGCCGGGTAGGGGTGCCCCAGCTGTAGCAGATCTGGGTGCCCCGGGCTGTGGCAGAATTGGGGCCAGGGGAGGGGCACCACAGCAGGTGCGGGCCGGGCTTGTGTTCGGAGCGCCCCTCCCTGAGCCGCGGCAGGGTGGGGGCCGGGCTAGGTCGGGGGAGGGGCTCCCCTCCCCCTGGCTATGGCAGGTCCCTGGGCAGGTTCCCTGTGTATCTGTGCAACACTAAATAGGCTGCCGCAGAGCTTACAGGGAACTTAGGCACTGACCCTAATTAGGATTCCTAGGTGCAACTATAATATAAATAATTGGCTTTACAGACCCTGACAGATCATCTTTTAAACAGTACAGTAAATATCTCTTGCAACTAAATTTCATTTGCAATTACAGGTAGTTCAACTCAGAACTGAGGAACTTGTTGTCCTGCCTGTCCTCAAATTTTGCAGATTTACACTCAGTTGATGTTTTGGCAGATGTCCAAAGAAGTAACCTAAAATGTCTTTACTTTTTTAGTCTTCATTCTTTGCCTCAGGAAGGGAGCTTTCTCAAAGGCCATACTCAGTGGGCAAGTGATTGCAGGGTCTTTGGACAAGATTATACTTCTTGTTAAATTGGATTTTACTATGCTTGTGCCTGGATGACCTTAAGCTAGAACCCATCTCTGTTGGGAGAACTCATTTTAGAGTCTGCTAGAATGGAGTTCATTTCAGTGCACCTTTCTAATTTAATGGAATTCTGGTTAACAATAATTTACTCAATTGTTTTCATTGTGAGAGAGATTTAATTGGGGATCGGTCCTGCTTTGAGCAGGGGATTGGACTAGATGACCTCCTGAGGTCCCTTCCAACCCTGATATTCTATGATTCTATGAAATTGACATTTTTAGACCTTCTGCCCTTGACCTATTGAGGCTGAATTCCTTTTGTAGAAGTATCAGTGTTAAAGTGGAGAGGAGTATCAGCACAGTTGTCGGTCCTGGGAAAGTTCTCCTGGTTATGCTACTGGACTAAATAAGCCTTTCTGAAGTATACATTTAACTAGTAGGGACGGGTGTGGATTTTTGATGTAACTACATTACACATAAAATCTCACATTTTGAATTTGTAGTTTGTTTAAATGAAAAATGGGTCCATGTTCAATCAGAAAACTTCTAATTTTTAAAAAATCTGTTTTTTAGGCACAGAAGCAACATTTTCTTTGTATCCCTGTAACTTAAAAGGAAGACAATTTGTTGTGGGGATAGTTTGGATTTTAAAAGTATTCTGACCCAATGTGCTGTCTGTGTAGTTCCATCAAAGAAGACACCTTTATGGCTGCAAACCCCTTTTAAAATATTCATAAATATTTTGTGTGTATGCAATAATATTGTTCTAAAGTGAGAATGGTGAAACTATGTCAGTTCAGGTCACTGAACACAGAGGGCTTGCCCACACTAGTGGACTTTTTAATGTCGATTGATTCCCAGTTAACTCAAGATAGATAATGTATTTGTAAAGTCACTCCACAATAGTTTGTTCCAGAATACAAATGTTTGCGGTTGAACCTAAGCTGTGTCCGAGAGAGACGTCTTTGCTACAAAAACAGTTTCAAATTCCACCTATCTAGAGGATCTGCAATTTTTTCTTCATTCTACAATATACTGTCTTTTTTTAAAAAATGCTTGTTTTCCATTGTTAAAATACAGCAATCACAGCTTGTACGGCAATGATAATCTTGCCTCCCACTAAACAAGAACAGCAGCAGAGGCAGATATTGACCCCCTCCTTCACTTCAAGGTATTGACCCTCCTTCCTTCACTTCACAGCTTATCTAAGACCATTTAAATGCTATGATTACTAAGCATAGACATTTTCTTCTTTTTATTTTTTGTTAAAAAGGGAAAATAAATTAAATGGGAAGAAAATAGTTTGGTAATAATAAGATTGCACTGTTAAAAGCAGGTAAGGATTAGGTTAAAGTCTCTCTCTCGATCAGAATTTGATTCCCTAAATTGGCTAAAAAAAGCAATCGCTATTAATGTTCTATTCCCCCATCCTCCTTCCCCTCTTGTATTCTACTCCCCTTAATGGATGAATCAAGTGTAAGAGACAGGAAAAAAACCACTTGAGTAAGATCAAATAGGAGAATAAGTAAGGATAGAAATGGGTGGGGGGTAATTAAGTTATATTTTATTAGAGTTCTGTGAAACTCACCCCTATTTATTTTTTTAAAGATAGCAAAAATCCCAAATGCTTACCTGTAATTGTTATACCAGGAGTTTTATGGCTAGTTGGAACTGTAGGACTCTGTCTGGCGATTAATTGTGAACAGATGCATTGCTGTGCAAGCTCCTCAAGACAAATATGCAGGATCAGGCCTTTATTAGGAAATAGGAATAGCTCACTACCTACTGTCTCAGTCAGGTTGCATTATATAGAATATGAATGTAAGACACAATCCCTCTCTCTTTGAAGTCTATAGCAAAAATGTAACTGATTTCAGTGGGAGTAGAATCCCACTGTGAAATGTCAGGTCCGAAGAGCACAGGATCATTCACTGCCAGGAAAATAAGCATGTGGTATATACATCAGTAACGATAATTTAATGAGTAAATAAGGAAAAAGCGGAGTGGGAAAACATTCATAGTTGGTCATATTTTCCCCCTTCCTCATAGAGGGCATTGAACAGACCTGTTCTGTTAAACACTCTTTTAAAGTATTTTGGATTTTGCTTTTAATTAATGTGGGTAGGAAATTAATTTCAGAATTGTAGGATCTAAATCACAAAGGAGATGAATCTTTAAAAAACAGACCAAAGAGCAGCAGCACACACATGCTTTACTCAGGTTTCAGAGTAGCAGCCGTGTTAGTCTGTATTCGCAAAAAGAAAAAGGAGTACTTGCAGCACCTTAGAGACTAACAAATTTATTTGAGCATAAGCTTTCGTGAGCTACAGCTCACTTCATCGGATGCATTCAGTGAAAGCTTATGCTCAAATAAATTTGTTAGTCTGTAAGGTGCCAGAGATACTCCTTTTCTTTATGCTTTACTCAGTGTTTTCAGAAGTGATTTTTCCAATTGGTTGTAACTTTATTTTTGTTGTTAATGGTTCCCTTAAATCAAAGTGTATGCTCAATGAGGGCTGTATATATGCCAATTCTTGTAGCCCTGTTTGAAAACAGGTTAAAAAATTACAACGGGGAAAAAATATTTTCCCCCATGATTCAACACAATTACAGGGATTTTGTTCAAACTCTTTTAAAAAAAAACCTTTCTGCACAGTCTGATCTGAGCATGAAAATCTTCAACTGAAAAGGTGAACATTTTATGAAGTCCTGTAGATGTGAAAATGGATTTGTTATGGTAACAGTTTTGCAACCTTACCTATAGTGGGTAAAGCTGTCATTTTCAAGTATCCCTATTGCCTGATAAAGATGGTAATCCACAAGAAAAAGAAATGCCTCTCTGCTAATGTGAATTTTCAACTATGTGGAATAATGGACTTGATTTGAAAGTCAGTGAAATTGTATGTCATGTGAGAAGAAACAGACTGAAGCTAAAGATAGCAATGCTATGTAGACTTTCAGTGGCTGATGGTGATTTTGTATTCTGTGGGATTGTATCCCTGTTTAGCCAGGAAGACTGTTGCAGAAAGTGCATGAAGGAGAATAAAGGCATATTTAGAGCACTCTGAAGATGTGGGTGAGATTCTTAATGAGGTGGAAAGAGGAATAATTCAGTGTATTTCTGCTGAACACAGCCTTAGTTTCCCATTTATGGATGTCAGTACATAGGCAATATGCTAGCCGCACTGAACATTTACTGCTGAGTGTACTGCCAACAATGGGAATTCCGGACATCTTTTCAAGATAAGATAGGCATATGATGCAGAAAAGCACAATAGTTAAAGATGGAATGGATTTTTTTTAAAGAGGGTAACTTTTCATGTGACACTTTTCCCTCCTCTCTTACCTCCTCATATAGGATAAAATGGAAAGCAGTCTGTGTTGTTTTCAGGACAGTGAATATGTAAGTAGTACTTTTGGAAATTGGACAGCAGAAAACAAGAATCTCAGACAATTAATTCCCCTTTAGAAATCAGTCTTACCAGCCCCTTTTTAAAAAAAAACACATTTAATATTTTGTCTTCAAATGTTGTTTACATATTCTTTACTCTAAAAAGAAACCCCATTCTTCCCATCTACTCCGACCCAAGCCCATGCCCACACTTTGCCTGTGACTACATTTTATACTCTGGAATCAAATATTTTTGCTAAAATCCTGTCTCTTCCTTTTCTAGATGGAAATGGGGACTGGAATTAATTAGATGCTTAAAAGTCAGTACATTACCCAGTGAAGTGCTTCTCTACTTAGCTGAAGAGATCTGAGAATTTCCAGAGCACACTGTATCCTGTGGCAGTGCATTTATACACACACAATTTCAAAATATATTACCAACGGTTATTAGAATGCTTTGTTCATCGAAGCTCTTTCAGATACAAAATTGACTGGTCTGTTTCAATAGGAATGGAATACATCACAATAGATTTCAGGATATCATTACTTACATCACAGTATAATGGGGTCTTACCTCCAGGTTGGATGTAGAAGCAGTTTAGCTGAGTTTCGTGCACCAACTTGCCCTTATACCTCACCTCAGGTTCACCAGGCAGAAGACTGGGTAGTGGGTGATATGCTGAAGTGGCTTGCCGAACAAAGGCTTGAAACATTTTGTATTTCCAAAGGTAGCTTTGCACAGCTGAATCTAAATATTCTGTATATAGCAAAAGTAGATTCCTGATAGTCAGTGGTTTCCTACTTGAGTATCATTTAAACCTAATAGCCACAAAACTTGCCCAGATGTTAAACCCCTGTCTTGCAAAAGCTCTTGTGACCAAAACTACAGAAACTATTGTCCAGCTATTTGAAACTTGAGCAACGTCTCTTGCACTATCTTTTCTTCCCTAGCTCTTTACTCCTAATCCTTTTCTTGTCCTGTGTGCCTGATGCTTGGTTAAAGCCCTCACTTCCCCCAATGGTTTTACAGGAAAACTTGGATTGAGAAGTGAAGATAATGGGCTCCATCCGCCTGTCAGCTCATCACCTCACTGAGTCATGGTGATCTCTGGTTTTTGTAAATCACCACTAACTTGTCTGATATCTTCTTGTGTTTGAAGAAAGATAGGTTTTGTCTAGGGGTGAGTGGACCTCAGGCCTGACATAGCCAGAAAACTTCTCCTGGAATGTGAGCTTTGTTTTTTTTACATAGAAACTGATATTTGTAACCATTTCTCAAAACAAGATAAATAGGGAAGAGAGTGTACCATATGATGCATATACAGAATAATTCATGTGTGTAGTTGATGTAATATAAGATGCTTGATGCTCAACAAATCTGCCTTTGTCAGAGCAAACACTGAAAATCAACATTAAACCATATTTTCCATTAAAAACATGAAACCCAAGTACAGGATGGCATACCCTGTAAAGGACAAGGAATGTGTTCTATAATAAAATTCAGTTCAACTGTTCCAGTGTCATTCTATAAAGTTTGCAAATGTGTTTTTAAAAACCTGAAAAACAGTAACTTAGTGTTGGGGCTCAATCATCCCGGTCTAGGATTATAAATACTATTAATGACTGGCATGGTTTATATTATTATAATTTCTCTGCAATTCAGAGTTTGTGTTAATCAGCAAATGAAAGTAATCCTAAAACATTACATCTGGTTAACTTCCTTCTAGCCAGGATATTGCCATCCTAGAAATGTGCATTTCTGTTCTAAAATCTACAGCTGTTATTTGCTGATATATTGCTTAAAATTATAATAAGAAATCCTCTTTCCACCCATTGTTGTCATTATTTTACATATGTATGCTCTCCTATGCCTTTCTGAGCTTGTGTTTCAGTTACACTGGGGTTATTTTTATATGAATAACAACCAGAGCCATTAGCCAGGGTAGAAATTTGTAAAGGATGTAAGCCTCGTGCTTCAGGCCAGAAGTCAACCACAAACTGCCGAGGGTTAGGAATGAACTTCCTCTATTTTTAAGCTCATCCATAATGGTCTGTTGTAGAATTTCTTGAATCTTTTTCTGAAACATCTGGTAGTTTTCACTGTTTGAGACAAGATATTGGATTAGCTGGACATGCTATGGCAATTCATTTGCCTCTGTGTCAAACTTTGCAGAAAGTCAGTGTTCACATTCTTTGCTTAACAGGCTGTGTTGTCTGCATATACTCTACACAATAACTTATATCTCAACACAACATCTTTCAATGTGCGGGGGAGGGACTTGGGGGTAAAATGAAAATTTAGAACATACAAAGCCATCAGGGCTTGTAGTTTCACGTGAGTAGGTCGAGGTGTTATGTAATGTTTTAATTAGGTTCTTTTCTCTCTCTCTCTCTTTGGTTGTCTCCTCTCTTTTTCTTTTTTGGTTTCTATCACATGAACATTTTGTACATCTCATCACACAGAAAATAAAAAGCTTCCATAATGCCCTAGAAGAGCTTCTTGTCACTGAAAGATGCGGTGCTGGGATTTAAGTTCCTATAGGCCAAGAGTTGAGGCATTTTTGTATTTTGAATTCATGCCTTTCAGAAGTTGGGGTTCAAGATTGTAATCAGCATATGATTTCCTTAAAATAGTTTCAGCAGACATTACGTTGTCAGTGGTTCAGCCAGTTTTGTTTCCTTGCTTGAGAGAGCTGAAAGGTCTAAGTGCAAGATTATAGGAGGCAAAGTAGAAAACCAAATGTAGGAAGTAATAGTTCTTGATCAAGAGACAGCCACACATGGAGATTCTTGAGAAATCAAATTAGTTAACCTGAAACTATCTTTGAGGAAATTTCCAGTTTGTGCAGAGTTGATGGAAGTATAGCACCAGGAGGTGGGGGTGGATGAGAGAAAGGAAGATGAAGGATGTTGAAGTGTTTCTTTCCCAAGAAATTGTTTGCAGTGAAAAAGCGTGTTTGTTTTCCCAATATAATTGAAAAGGCACATTTGTTTTCTGGGAGAACCTGTTTTTCCATGCCTCTGCAGATTTTGTGAAATATGAACCTCCTGATTTGCAGATCCAAGTTCTTATTTAACCCACAACTCTACTCTATTTTCGGGGGTCAAAAATCCCATTTTCAACTGGGTTGCCTTCCTGCCTTCCTTCAGCATTTAAAAAGTGTCTGGCTATTACACCAACAGGAAATTGATGAGCCTATATGTTCTGCTGAACTAACCTGTTAAACTGAAGGTCTGAAACAGAGAATTTGCTGCATATTTCTTTTTTAAATTACATTGGTGAAAAACTTGATTCCAAAACTAAAGGCATAGTGAGTAGCCATACAGACTACTCCACTCAACAATTATCTTATTTGAAAAGTCAATCAATCTGCCCGTTTTACAGTAATCTGAACCTTAATTTAAAACACAGTTAAACCAAAATTGATAAAATAGGATATATAAATACCCTAAAACCAAAAAAACCCTAATCAATTAACAAAGGGAAAATACAACATCATTCAAAGTATAATCATACTTACCTAAAATTCAGGAATTATAGAAAGGGGGAATTTTAATACCCTGTAGATTTTCCAGCATTTGAAAATGTATTAGCCATACGTATGTGAAAAGGGGATGAAGCTGCAACAAGATGTCAAAGCTTTTCTTGTAAACACAGTGTGAACTTATCTATGACTAGAATAAACCAAATCCTGTTTACTCTTTTTTTTTTTATTTTTCCCTGAGGGAGGCATGCCTGCTTTTTGTGCCCAAGAAATTTTGCCTGCTAAAATCATATTTCTCATTTTTCTCTGGAAACTCTGTCTGTAGGCAGATGTCTGCATTATTGGAGATAAATAATAGTGAAGTATGGCAGAAGAGAGGGCTGCAGAGGATTCAGTAGAAAATTTATTTTTTCATGTATTACAAAATTGTAAAAGGCCAAGACAAATTGATAAAAGCACAGTCAAAGGATGTGATGTAAAGATGAACTGCAAAGCTAAAGTGAAAATTGACTTAAAGGGACACTGCCAACCTGAAATTGCACAATTGCAAAAAGAGTTTAAAGTAGTTTCAGATACTACATCAGCTTATGAGTCTCCAGCCAATTTTTATGGCTTTATAATGATATCTTCCTATTTTTTAAAATGTTTTTCTTACTGCAGTTAGTAAATGAAAGATCCATCCAAACACAGGAAACTGAAGAAACAGTGAAATTGACCATGCACAAAGTGTCAAATACAGAGAGTAAACAAATTGAAAAAATACAGGGGAAAAAGTTACAGTAATCTTTACACATTACTCATAACAATAGGTACAAGTTTGAGAAAAGTTGGATTTTTGTGCTTGATGGTGTCCCTTTAAGCCCAGAACTACAAATGCATTTCCATTAACTAAGGTCTAGAAGCATTCAGCTCAGAAATAAGCTAAAATTGATCATTATAGGCAGAGCTGGAAGCAGCATCTATAGTTACGGTTGCTTAACAATTTCCATTATAAGCCCTTCTTTTCAAATGCTTATAATTTTTCCGAACTTTTAATCATTTGGGCTGAAAGCTTCCATGCTTCCTCACAACCTCAGGCTCGTTTTGTTTGCTTGTTTGTTTTGTTTAATTTCAGCAAAAATGGTTCATCTATTTCTGAGAATGAGGTTGGGGAAAATAGGTAGTTTTACAAATGTTAAATTATTTTTGTTTCTTTGAAGATTTCTAGCACCTCTGGAGTTTGGAGCAGGAACTTAACACTTAGCAGGAGGGTAGCAGGATCGAAGAGGTGCTTTTTGAGGGCCCCAGAAATATACACCCAGATTTGGCTGTGTTATAAACCTCTGAAAAGTGCTACAACAGATCTTGATAGAGGCTTTTGGGGAGACATTGTAGGAGCAGCTGCCATTTCTTTAGCTTAGGGAAAGGTAGAGTGGAAATAATGAAGGTGCTAGGGGGAAGGGGAAGTGCTGCTCTCATTCCTTCTCTCTAAAAGCAACATGAGCGCTCCCTCTCATCTGCCCAGTTTGGGGGAGCAATGCTCCTGCATGCTTTCCCTCTTCCTTGACTGCTACTGCAGTGAGTTCCTCTTTCTGTTTGTCTACTTTTACCACTGTGATAAGGTGGGCTGAAAGCCAGAAAAAGACCATGTGTTCTAGTTTCATCTCTTCCACTGGCTGGTGTTAATAATCATCTGCACTTTGTAGCCGTTTTAATTGAGCAAGGCCTCCTACTCCTACCTTAGAATTCAAATATCACTCCCCATTTTACAGATTTTGTAACTGAGATAGTAATAGGTGAATTATGGCACAGCAGGGAATAGAACCCAGGGGCCAGATTATGTGCTGTGCCTGTAGCTCAGGATGAGGAGGAAAAAGTGACTTTAAGCCCCCTTTTTGCCTCCCAGAGTCTGTGGTACTATTGACTATTTTACTGCCCAGATTTTTGTGGTGATAGATTTCTACTCTACGGTCAGATCATTTGTTGTAGATGAGGGCCGTGCCTCCCATATTTTGTTTTGATAGTGTGCCCTAAGAAGTTGATGGAGACCATTGCATTCCAGATCTTTGAGGAATCATGCAGATTACCTTTGAAGCCCTCTACTGATGGAATATTATGAGAGGAAGGACAGTCTTGTAGTTGAGACTCAGAAGATCAGGGGGGAGGGGACAGGAAGGAGGCAGAATCTTCCCACATGTCTTTTGTATTGTGTAAAGAATGCTCTGAAAATGATTTTATTTTCCTTCAATAAAATATTTTCCCTGC